TGCCATTACCTCAAATGATGGTAAGTATTAGAATTAATGAATATATAATTGTAATTAAGAGATTACTTTTACTTCAAAAAAAAAATATATATATATATATTAGACTAGGCTTGTTTAGCTACGTTTATTTTAGCAAAGTCCTTATTAGTATAAAAATATTTTGGATATAATTCTCTACTGTAAAAATAAATAAAAAACCTAAAAAGAGTATGTGTTCATCGTTTATCTTATAATTCACCTTCTAATGCCCTTGTAGTATCTAATATGAAATAAGCTAATAGATAGCCAGATCCTTCAAAATTGCAAATAATCCTATACAATTCAAAGCATCCTTTTGCAGTTTTATAAATAGCATCACAATGAATTTCAGATTTGTATTTAATTTCATTATGTAGTGGTATTATACAGTAAATCTAATAGCAATCACTTGATTTGTCATCAACTCAAAACAAAGCTCACAACTGGCAGCTTGCTTTGATTTAAAAAAAGCATAAGCTGAATTAACATGATCTTCTTCAGACTTATAAAAAAGCTATATATAAAATGACCATCAATAACGAATCTGATTTGCTATAATCTTTGAAATATCAAATTTATCTTGAAAATATGTCTGAAGTTGTATTGAATCCAGATGAAGATTTGTTTTAATTTCTTATCTTATTTTCATGGGCATTGTAACATTAACTAGTTTATCATGAAGAATATTATGTTTAAAGTTTACTGTAATTTTAGCCACAAAAATATCAATATAAATAATTAGCATCCCATAGTAATCATAATGAGCCATTCTTTAACAGTTTGATTTTTTATAATTACATGCCAATTTGTTGGACTGAGAACAACAGAAATAAAAAGTACTGATATTTTCATGATGAGTAGAGATACAGGGTGCAGTATTATGTTTAAAGTTTACTGTAATTTTAGCTACAGAAATATCAATATAAATGATTAGCATCCTATAATAATCATAACGAGCCATTCTTTGACAGTTTGATTTTTTATAATTACATGCCAATTTGTTGGACTGAGAATAACAGAAATAAAAAATACTGATATTTTCATGATGAGTAGAGATACAGAGTACAGTATTAATTCTTGTAAAATTCTGAATACATTAAAAAATACTAAAAAAAACCCTAATTTTTTCAATACTTACACCCAAGAATAGCCATCAGCTTCTTTGATATGATCAACAATCATATGAGCAATTGACTTAATATTAAAATTCTGATCAGATATATTGATGTTGGCAATATCAACTTGTACTATAAAACATAGCTCTATATTATTCTTGAATATCAATTCTGCAACATATTCATTTAAATTATTTAATAAAATTATTTTAAGTATATAATCATTATCATTAGGCACAGTTTGTATATAATTATTATTATCAGGCACAGTTTTTTGTTCAACTCTCTTTTTAGCTTTTTTATTTAAACAAGTCACGCATGTTTTATATCTTTTTCTATTAAGTATAAAAGACTTAGAAGAATATTGACAAGAACATAAGTTATATTTTTTCATTATAAATAAAAGGAAAACAGTAAGATACGATTGCAAGGTTTTTTTTTTTTTGCTAAAATATATATCAAGCACAGTAAACGTAAAACATAAAAAGAAGAATAATTTATAATCGCATTTCTTTTATATATTGATAAATTTAAATCGTGGAGTTTAAATATATAAGATATAGTATATTTTACAAGTATATATCGATATACTAAAATGTTCGAATAGACTCAATTAAATAAGAGACGATTTTATATTTAAGAAAATTTACAAGACCCAATAAGAGATGAAACAAAAAATCGATTTTGTACAATCTTTCGTTCTAAAATATCAATTTTATATTCGATAAATTAATAATAGTAATAGTAACAGATTAAAAAAAAGCTTTATGTATCATAGCATCATAGTGATAGCAATATAATATTAGAAAATAACCTTAATTTTATAACTAGTTTGTAACATGTTAAGAACGAATATATAAAATAATTGAATTTTTAAGTAAAAATATTTAAAGAATTACTCTAATTTTAAGAAAGGGTTTGATTATTTATTATTGATCGAACTTTGCTATAAAATTCATCATATATATTGTATGTGCAGATAAAATTTTTTTGAATAATGTAATGGTAGAATCTATCGATTTATAATTAGAATATGATGATTATACTGCATAATAATCTGCACATGATTTCTGGAAATTTTAGACTACACTCTGCTGTTATTATTAAAAATTATTGATATATATCGATTAACTACTATATATCGATATATATCACTAATGATAAATAATGATTATTGATTTATAATCACTATCGACTAATAACGATTTTATAAAATTTGACCAATTTTTTAAACTTTAATATTAATTTTCTTAATAACTATTAATCCAAATTGGCTCAATTTTTATCACATATAGTATATATATTCAACTATAATATAGTAAAATTTTAGCCAATTTGAAACAATAGTTTTTGAGAAATCGTTAGTTAACAATAGTTAATTTTTTTAAAAAAATTAACTATCGTTAATAAATGATTTCTCAAGAACTATTGTTTCAAATTGGC